TGGTCATCTCCAGTAGTCTTGGTTACCAAGAAGGACGGGACTACCCGATTTTGCGTCGATTACAGGAAACTGAACGACGTCACGAAGAAAGACAGTTACCCCCTTCCTCGAATAGACGATACCTTGACGACCTTATCCGGCTCGGCGTGGTTTTCGACCTTGGACTTGAAGAGTGGCTACTGGCAAGTAGGCTTGCACCCGGACGACAAAGAAAAGACTGCGTTCTCCACCGGAAGTGGCCTCTATCACTTCACCGTTATGCCCTTCGGATTATGTAATGCGCCAGCAACATTCGAGCGTCTGATGGAGATGGTGCTGAAAGGATTGACATGGAAGACCTGTCTGGTATACCTCGACGACGTCATGATTATGGGCAAAACGTTTGATGACCATCTGAAGAATCTCGAGGAGGTGCTAGAACGAATGGAAAACGCTCGTTTGAAACTAAATCCCAAGAAATGCTCACTCTTCCAGAAACGAGTCGAGTTCCTGGGCCATATCGTGTCGGAGAAAGGAATAGAAACCAACCCGACGAAAGTTCTTGCTATCCGGGATTGGCCCATACCAAGAGACAAGCATGAACTACGAAGCTTCTTGGGACTCTGCACATATTACCGACGATTTGTAGAAGGGTATGCCGACATCGCAGCACCGTTACACCAACTGACGGAGCAGAAGGCGACTTTCAAGTGGAGCAGTACATGTGAGATGGCCTTTAAGAGACTGAAGACGGCTTTGTGCACCAGCCCCATTTTGGCTTACCCCAGGGACAAAGGAATGTTCGTCCTCGATACCGATGCGAGTAACTCGGGAGTTGGGGCCGTATTGTCGCAGATACAAGATGGGGAGGAAAGGGTTATCGAATATTTTAGTAAATTACATTCCAAACCAGAGAGAAATTACTGTGCCACAAGGAAGGAACTGCTAGCCATTGTCAAAGCCGTCAACCACTTCCACAAGTATCTATACGGACAGGAGTTTCTGATCAGGACCGACCACGCTGCCCTTTCGTGGCTACTGCGGATAAAGAATCCCGAGGGCCAAGTAGCGCGTTGGCTGGAAAGACTACAGCAGTACCAATTTAGGATCAAACACCGAGCGGGTCGACTTCACAACAACGCTGACGCTTTGTCAAGACGTCCGTGCGGAGAGTGCAAGCACTGCGACAGAATCGACGCCGAAGAAGGGAACCTGCCCGTTCGTCGAACGCTTTTTGAGCAAGATGAAGAATGGACAACGGCGCGCCTAAAGCGTGAACAAGAAGCAGACGACATAATCGGGCCAATATTAAAGTGGAAGGAGGAAGGAGTCGAACGACCCGGCTGGGCAGAATTGTCCGACCAATCTCCCAGTTTGAAGGCGTTATGGGCCCAATGGGATTCCTTGGTCATGGAAAATGGGCTCTTGAAGCGGAAGTGGGAGAGTCCTGATGGGCGTACCTCTAAGACAATGCTGGTACTCCCCAAGGTAAAGGTTTCCAAGGTCTTAGAGGAAGTTCATGCCGGAACATCTGGAGCCCACTTCGGAGTGAACAAGACTTTGTCGAAAATCCGGGAGAGGTTTTATTGGGTAGGCTATCGTGACGACGTCGAAAGTTGGTGTCGCAAGTGTACGACGTGTGCGGCCAGCCAAGGTCCTCATACCAGGGCGAGGGGAAAGATGAAGAAATATAATGTTGGGGCACCTTTCGAAAGAATCGCCATCGATGTGGCCGGTCCGTTCCCTGTAACAAACGACGGCAACAAGTTTATCCTGGTGGCTAGCGACTACTTCAGCAAGTGGCCAGATGCCTATGCCATTCCAAATCAGGAAGCCGTCACGGTCGCGAAAGTACTGGTTGACAATTGGATCAGTAGGTTTGGCGTCCCCTTGGAACTTCACTCAGACCAGGGACGCAATTTCGAATCCAACGTCTTCCAAAGAGTGATGCAGCTACTGGGAATACGTAAGACAAGGACAACGCCACTACACCCACAGTCCGACGGCATGGTGGAAAGGTTCAATCGGACTATGGAGCAACACCTTTCGAAAGTGGTAGAAGAGCACCAAAGGGATTGGGACCAGCACCTTCCACTATTCCTGCTGGCCTACCGCGCAGCTATCCACGACACCACGGGCCAAACACCTGCTCACGTTGTATTTGGGAAGGAACTGCGGCTGCCCTGTGACCTAGTCTTTGGATTGCCATCCGAAGAACCAATGGAAGTACGTGACTACGTGGACGAACTGAAAGAGAAGTTGGTCAACGTGCATGAACTAGTGAGGGGCCGGATCAAGATTGCCAGTGACCGAATGAAGACCCGTTATGATGTGAAGGCCAACTGTGGCGGATTCCAGGAAGATGACTTAGTGTGGCTGTATAACCCCCGACGGAAGAAGGGACGTTGCCCAAAACTGGCTCCTGACTGGGAAGGTCCATACACTATCGTCACTAGAATAAATGACGTAGTTTATCGGATCCAACGTGGACCAAAGACGAAGATGAAGATCGTTCATCTCGATCGACTAAAACGGTACGAAGGAAACAACGAAGACGCTTCCGATCGGGACGATCGGATTTGAAGAGGGGGGCAGTGTTACGAAATACACCCTTACGCCGCCCCAGTACGACGCCTATGGCGGTCGAGAGCCTTCTGGACGTACGCACGGCGCTGATGGGTGAATCATCGCTGTTGACGGCCGAGAGGCGGGCGCATAAAGACAGGTCTGGAGCGTCTCGAAGCGGCGTCCAGGGGAGTCTCGAAGCGGAGTCGCGATGGATGTTCGTGAAGGATCTCGATCAGAGACTATGGGTTTAAATAGAGGCGACCGTAGGTAATGGATTCATTCATCCAGTGAAGACAGTCGAGAGCGCCGGAATAATTTCTGTACATATTCGTCGCAATAGATAGTGTTGTAATTCGACCTGAAGAAATAAATTTTTTGAGTTTTACCAACACCCGATTTATTATTCGTCCGTCAATCGTAACAATATCTTGGCATACACATCGACTCACAGCTTACTTGGATAAAACATGGTGAAGAAACTGCCTTAAAAATTGCCAAAAATATCTATTTGTTACGCAATTTATCTAATGTCCTTTCTTTAAAGTATTTAAGAATAGTATACTTTTCCTTAATACATTGTCACCTACAATATGGAATCTTAATATGGGGACACTCAAGTGCAAGAACACGGTTATTCAAATTACAAAGAAAGGCCATCAGAATAATTTCGAATATAGGATATAGAGACGACTGTCGAAACCATTTTATAAGGCTAGGCATCTTAACGCTTCCATCTCTCTACATACTCAAATGTATTGAGCATATCGTTAACAACATCAAGTCTTATCCAAAGCTGAATGATTTTCACAATCACCAAACAAGAACACAAGATCTAAGCTGTAAATATTTGAGATTAACGAGATCACAAGATGGTGTGAATTATTTTGGTGTAAAATTTTTTAATAAACTTCCTTTAAATTATAAACAGTTAGAAAATAAATTACTTCTACATAGGATAAAAACATATCTCGTAAAATCAGCATTTTATTCTATTGATGAATTTTTGGAACATGATTTCATTGAGTAAAGTGTTAAAAAAAGAAAAAGAAATGCAAGTTGTTTTTTTTTTCCTCTCGTCAATCATACTTGTTGCAAAATAGATTGTTTTATATTAGTTTAGTATAGTAAGTTTAGTATAGTATATATTATATGTACAGATAGGTTAAATCTGACGTGTGTAAATATGTGTACACATATACTGACACTAATAAACCATCTATCTATCATCTATCTATCTATCTATCTATCATTGTCTAATTAATATGTGGTTTAATACCACTAATTCAATTTCAGAAAATAGCATGTTAATTAAATATATTTTTTAATTAACAAATGATAAAAAATTTCAGGATAATTTTTTTTAATATATTTAAATAAAGCTGCGAATATAAAAATTGCATTCAAACGGAAATACAGCTTATGGTGGCGGTAATTGCTGCAGTTACCCTATTTCGAACAAAAATTCAACGTTTTACAAACAATTTGTCACAGTCTGAAGTATGTTGAGGATGAAAATTAAAAATGTTAATGTTAGCAAATATATTGGTGTTACTGCATTTTTAAAAACACGATGTAAAAACTATTATAGGCATTAAAAAGATTAGGCAAATATTTCTGTACCTCCATTTTAAAATTAACTATACAATTTTGAAAATATCGTTTTTTTTTAGTGTCTGAAGCACAGTAATTTATTTAACGATTTGGCAAATTCTTAAATATTTTTTTTCTATATTTACATTACAGTTTAAAAAATGAGACTGCTGTTTAACTAAAAAAATACGTATAATTTCACTTTTTTTGTCCACATATTTAGCACAAATAATTTAAATTTATTTTAGAGCATTCATTTTCTCTCACAATTTTTACACTCTTTTATTTCGCTTATGCTGTGTTCTTCTGATTTCAGTCTCTTCCTTTAGATTCTTAGCGCGTGTTGACTTTGGTTTTCCATTGTATCACTAAACAATATTATTTATAAACGTTGATATGACATTGTTTATTAAAAGCATACTCACATCGTCCCCCAAAAAAACCTTTTCCACGTGTAGAGATTTGTAACTTTTGTGAATTCAAAGTGCGATGTTTTTTCTCTTTTGCACGTTCATTTTTTTCTGCTTAAACCACCTTTCCTTTTTCTTCCTTCATTTTTCTCTTTCTTTTTGTTTTTTTGTGTCTTCTTGTAGATGTTGCCACACACAAGTGCACACATAACGAAATTTTTCTTTAATTCTAATCTGTTTTCCTTTTCTAGTTGGAGTTGCTGACCAGTAAATATATAGAATTGGAATTACCTATATCCTCTTGTACTTTGTAAACAATGTTAATTTGTGGCGACTTTATGTAAAAATTTGTATTGATACCTCGAATAACTTTTTATTTATTCGCCAAAAGTAAGGATATTAAATTTGCAAATGGAGAATAGCTACAAAGCTTTCCGTAATATTGTAAAGCAGTTATCACACCTAGCTGTGTTAAAACTGTACCGCTACATAGGATATTTATTTTTTTTAAGAACCAACAACCAATGTCTACGACATACAATATTCTTTATTGTTCAAATTCGTATAACAATCTACGATATTCAAATTACACGGAACTAAATGAATTTGTTTTTCTACTACAGCAACATACTGTTGAATACGACTATAATCAATTCTATATGTATCCTCTGCAATGCAGTATGGCACTAAACCACTATTAAAATGCACTTTGTCACAACACGAGTGTTTTATTCTTAGTTTGTCCATTGCGTTTTCAAATGTAGTCCACTCTCTGCAAGACCATGGATTTCCGTACATCGACAAGTATGTGTCTCTGGTAGCGTTGCATTCTTGTATTGTAATATAATTTTCATCTTTTATAAAATTGAAATGTAAGTCAATTCGCAAGGGTGTGTTTCTAGAGGGTCTCTCAACGTCTGCACATATAAGAACTAATAAAAATTCAATGGTTTCAATTTCATTATGACTCAAATTGATGATTTCGACGGTGAAAGGTGGTCTGTTGTTTGTATTCCAGTGAACGTTAAATATTTTATTGTAGGACAAGTCCAAAACTTTTAAATTTTGCATTTTACTTAGATCTGGAACCACAGTTATTTTATTATTACTTAAGTAAAGATGTGTTAGGTTATTTAAATGGTTTATAACTTCAGGTAGTGCTACGTCAGCGATTTCGTTGTAACTTAGATCTAGAAATTCCAACGACTGTGGAAAACTCTTCGGTTCAATGAATCTGATTTTATTCTTTTTAAAATTAAGCACGCGTAACTTCGAATTTTGACTGAAACCGTCGAAAATTCTAATACGAGAAATTCGATTTTCTGCAACGTTTATTTCTTCTATGACATCGTTAACCCGAAATGCATCTCTTCCAACCGTTTCGATATTGTTATTAACCAACGATAACTTATTTAAAGGATGGCAGAAAAACTCTCTGTCTTTCAAGTGCTTGAGATCGTTCTTATAAAGTGTCAGTTGTTTTATACGATAAAGTCCGTTGAAAAAACGACAACCGACTGTTGAAATACCATTTAGTTGTTCAACAAATGTTATACTGTGGCTATTCAGCAAGAAACGGTATACCATCACCCAATCCAGGCATATCAAGTGACTTTTAAGTTTGGGTTTCTTTGATTTCACTATTACATCTCTAAAGGTTACATTAGTTTTTGTAGTATAAATATCTTTTATGTTGTCGCATATTGTTGCATAAGATTCCACACAGTCACACTTACTTTCTTGCAAAACTGCTATAATTAACGAGAGAAGTATTATTCGAAATGTGTTATCCATGGATCTATTAATTTAAAAATGGTACTCAGTGTAATAATGGTGGAGGAGGCAAGGCGTGGAGAGAAAAGTAATCTGCAAAAGAAAAACCATTAAGAATGTCGTTTTTTAAAACAGTATTGTTATAAAAATAAAAACGCAACAGATTAATTGTGTGAAATTGTATGTGTTTTATTAAGAATATGTTATTACAACAATCGGTCCAGTAGTTTCGGTCTGGTACGGATAGATGGTAAAATGCTTCTTAAAATTTGATGACGTGATTTATTGAAAATTTATATTTACATGGCGCATACGACTGATGTTTCTTTTGACTACTTACATCCTGTTCCTCAAAGATTAAATTGTTCGAACTAATTAATTTTATATAGTCGCCAATATTATGGTTAATATATTTGTCACAATAAAAAAAATTGTTCATTCTCCTTTCGTTATTTTAGTCATTTTCGCTAACACTAATGGTCAAGGACTGTTTAATAGTAAGTAATTTGTTGCCTGTAGTATCAAGGAAGTGTTTTAATGTTTCTTTAAGGTGGGAAAAATCTAAAATGAAAACACAAAAACATTTAATTTTTGGCACATCCTTCCCAAAAAACATGAATAAATTTGAGAACCTGTATTGGTTACAAAATTTATTACATTATTATCACTTTTAAAGCAATTTAATTTATTAATTAGCTTTGGTATCAACAATTATAAATATAATTTCCACAGGTTTATTACTAGCTTTGATTTTAAGAAACTATAACTAAAGGGAGTTAAATAAAATGCTTGTATGTTGTCTAAATGAAGTCGCAGGGTTTGTAAACTTGCTGTAAAAATATTTATTGTTGTTGTTAAAATGAAACTTGAACTTACAATTATTGTACGTACCTGTTTATGTTAATTAGAATATTCTTCTAAATATTTACATAACACATCGACATCATTTGAGAGATTTTCATAAAGCTCTATTATATTTTCCAGTTGGTAATAAGGTAAATTAAAAAACAATGTCACGAACAATCACAACACTGTGAGTTCTTATATTTTATTATACGGCTTGATCTTTCGATGGGCGTGTCTGCTTGCCGAGGCCAGTCTATACTGCGTTCGACTTTGAGTTGACAGCGTAGAAAAACCGTAAGATTAACAGAGCATTTTATGTGGGGGAATTCGAGGCGGTGTAAAAACCTACCGATTTCTGAAGAAGTTAATACATGAATTTTATGCAATTTATTGTAAAGTTTTTGTGATCCCGCATGTATTCGCGTTAGAATTAAATTTTTAAGTTGTAGTTAATCAGTTATTAAAAAAAAAAAGATTATCAATAACAAATCTTTTCTTTGCGTTTAATATTTTTCAAATTCCAACGATGCTTCAAAAAATGCATAAAAGCAGCTCAGTTAATATTAAAAGGAAAAGGTAGTTCTTCGTTTCAAAAATTGCTAATATTATAAAAAAATACTGGCATTTTGAAATATGCAATACAACACATATTTCAAGATATAAATTAGTCTGATGCAAGTCTCAGTAACTTATGCGATAATGATGGATACAAATTCACCGGACGGTTACGAGTGCGACAGTTTGGCACGAAGTTGAGTCAAATTGCCCTCATGATGCCCACAATTAATCTTAGATAAGTATTGTTACGAAATAAACGCATACGCCACCACGGTACGATGTCTATGGGACATCGAGAACTTTCTAGATGGGTGACTCATCGTCGGTAACGGGGGCCGAGCGGCGTTCGCTAAAGAAAAGCCTGGAAGCGGAAGTCGCGATGGGTTTTACAGAAAGACCTCGATCACAAAACATCTAGATGTTTATGCAAGGGTTTAAATAGAGGCCACCTTCTGAAACGAGTCACTCACAACCAATAAAAGTAGTCCATACAATTGGAGAAGTAGAGTCTAGTCAAATCCATTCCAGTCGGAATTATTATTATTATTATTATTATTACAATATAAATACAGATTGAGACTGTTGCAGTCTATAGATCTGTAGAGTTAACAAATATAAATGGTCTTCTATACAAAAATTGAAATTAAATTCTATTATACAAAATTAAAATAATAAAAGAAAAAAAAAAAAAGTTGATTGTGTTAGTTATTTGCCACGTTGAGATCGTCATATGCGTTTTTAAAGCTGTTTGTATGTAACTGTTTATTTCTTTCCCATTCGGGACTTGAAAGAAGTCCGGTTTACATTTTTCCCTTAATATATCTATATATGTACAAATATATATCAATTAAACATATTTTAACTTAAACTAATATTCTTTCTCGAAATGCTTCCTTATTTTCGTTTCTTTTCTAATATCATTTTCATCCATTCCAGACCATCACCTGTTTCGTTCAATAGCTCATTCCTATCTTTCTCGACTTCCCGTAACTCTTCACAATCCTTTAGCCAGTGTTCAATCGTCTCCGGAAATTCCCTGCATAATCCGCATCTTCTATCCTCTTCCTCTTTCCAGTAACAGTTTTCTCCTTCTTCATTTCCCACCCTAAATCTGGCTATTGTCTTTCTGTCTTCATTCTTTCTCCCTCTTATTAGATACTCCGGTAATTTTAGACCTCCTATTATTTCTCCATATTTTGGATTATATCTGGACTCTGCTATTTTTTTCCTTTGCTCTTTTCTTTGTAACTCTTCATCTAGATTTAAAATTTCCTTCCTGGGCTCTGCTCCCTCTATCCTTTTTCTCTCTACTTCTTCTGCCGTTAGACCTCTTACTTCGTAAAATTCTCTTCTTTCTTCCGCTGTCTTCTTATAATTTACCCTTATCTCTTCCCACATTTCTTTCATTATTTTGCATTCAACGTTCTGCCTGATCTTCTCTTCAAATTTCATTGCCCTTCGTGCTGCTTCTATTCTTAGTTTTTCTCTCTTCGTTTCCTCTAATACAATGTACTCTGGTGTCTCTTTTTCCAACCCTAACGTCCATTTCAAATACTTTGCCTGTACTCGTTCTAGACTCTCCCTTTCCTTCCATCCCCAGATTTCAGCACCGTACATAATAACACTTTTTATTAAGCTGTCGAAGAGCCATATTCTTCTAACGAAATCGTTCTTCAACCTTCTCTCTGCCAGTCCCCATACCGCCTTCAACAATCTATTTGTCTTCTTTACTGTATTTTCCAAATGTTGGGTTCTTCTTCCATTTCTTTGAAATGTATACCCTAAATATTTAAACGTCGCTACTTCTTCTATCGTCTTTTCTTCCCATTGCCAAACCTCTTTCTTACTTCTCCCTACCGCCTTTCTGAAAACCATCATTTTCGTTTTTTCTACATTCATTTGCAGTTCTCTCCTTCTTAAAAATGTTTGTAGGGTTTTCATCATCTCTCTTATTTCTTTACCCGTTTTTGCCAGTAGGACGATATCGTCTGCATACTGTAGTGACCAGATTTTTGTTTTCCCTAAAGTGACCCCTCCCATCTGTGCCTTCCTAAGATTTTCTTCTAATTTTGCTATATACAAGGAAAAGAGCGTTGGACTTAATGGACATCCTTGCCTAACTCCTTTCTTCGTCCAGAAATTCATCGACGTTTCTCCATTAACTCTGATTCTATTTTCTGTCTCTCTGTAGATTTCTCTAATTCTCTCTATTAGTGTTTTACTGATGCCCATGTCTTTCATTATTTGCCATAGTCTTTCCCTATTAACCATATCAAAAGCCGCTTTCAAATCTACAAAGAGCGCGTATACCTTTCCTCCTTTTTCGTTTAATTCCCTCCTTACTATGTGATCCAGGGTCGCTATGCATTCGATTGTTCCTCTTCCCTTTCTAAATCCCATTTGCACCTCTGGTAGCAGTTGTTTTTCCTCTATATCCCTTTCCAACTTATGTTGTAAAATGGAACTGTAGATCTTGTAAGTTGTATTCAACAACGTAATTCCTCTATAGTTTTCTACTTTTTCTCTGTTTCCTTTCTTGTGCAGGGGACTGATTAACCCCACTCTCCATTCTTCTGGTAACCCTTCTCCTTTCCAGATCTTATCTAACATTTTCGTGAGTCCCTCAACTATATTCTCTGTTGCGTAAATCCAGTGTTCGTTCTGAATGCCGTCTATTCCTGCAGCTTTTCCTTTCTTCATTTTCCCTATTACTCTTATCACCTCTTCCTTCCCTATTTCTTCCCTTTCTTCTATTGTGCCTGTTTCCTGTCTATTTACTTCTGTCTTCTGTTCTTCGTTAGTTTCTGCGCCTTCTAAAATTCTTATAAAATATTCCCGCCATTCTTCTATCTTGATGTTCTTACTTGGTCCCGTTTTTATCTTCCTTTCTTGGTTTATATATTTCCATGCTTCCGCTTCCGTTCTTATATCCTTTAATTTCTGGTCTTCTTCATCCTGTTTCTTTGCTTTCTTCTCTTTTATTAATTTCTTATAGTCCTTAATTTCTTTTCTATATTCCTTTTCATTACCTCTGTTCTTTAGCCATCGTCTCAATTTCCTTCTTACTTCTATTTTCTTCTGCCAGCATTCTTCGTCCCACCATGAAATTCCCTTCTTTTCTATTCCTCCCATTTTGATAACCTTCTTACGAGATGCCTTCCCCATCTCTACTTTTAGTTTTCTGGCCATCTCTTCCACTGTTCCTCCTCCTGTATTGTACTCTCTCAGTTTTCTTCTATATTCTTCAATCGACTTCTCATTCCATTCGTATATCTCTTTTTCTCTTCTGTTCTCTAACTCTTCCTTCTTAGTTTTTTCCACCTGTGTAATTGTTGGTAGGTGATCTGAGTCGCTCCTTATTCCAACCTCCATATCTCTGATGCCATGGTCCGCTATTTCATTACAGATAACATAATCTATAACTGATCTCCCTTGCCCCCCTATATATGTGTATTCACCCTCTTTGTCACCTTCTGTATTCCCATTCAGTATTTTCCATCCCTTTTCCTCTACCAACTCCAACAGTTTCTTTCCTTCTTTGTTCTCTGTTCGGTTTTTTGATTTCCTTTTTCCCTCATCCTTTTCCTTGTCCCATTCCCATTCAGCTCCCTTGTTTCCAATTCTAGCATTGAAATCCCCGCCTACCACCAAGCAATATTTTTCATCTATTTCATAATTTATTTCATCTAAATCTCTACTGGTCTTTTTTACGTTCTGACTGTATACTGTCATTATCCTCCAACTATTGTCCCCTATTTTAATTCTTCTCTCTTGTATTCCTTCAACTGATTTAATTCTCTCTTCCTCTATTTCTTCTACATCTTCCTTAATGCCTGTTATTATTCCACCCTTTGCTCTTCCCCTCTTCTTGCTTCTTTTCGCATGTTCGGATTTCCATCTATATTCTTTTGGCAATTTATTTCTAGTATTTTCCCAGTTTTTTTCTTCTACCCAAGTCTCAACCAAGCCCACCACCTCGAATTTCCTTATATAATCCCAAAAGTCTTTATCTTTTTTCTTCAACCCACATATGTTCCAAAAAATAATACTTATTCTATCCTTTTCTTCGTCCAAGGTTTCTTTTGTATTTTCAGTTTCTCCTGATTTCTTTCTTTGTTCGATTTTCTTTTTTCTTCCCTTTTCTTTTTCTTGTTCATATTCCTTTTCCGTAGCAAATGTCATCATCGTTCCTTCCTTTTCAATTTCTGCTAGTTTTTTGAGTCTTCTCTTATCTTATCTTCTATAAGTTTATCGTCTTTTTTGCTCCACTTCCATAATTTCCCTTCTACTTCAACTTTTTGAAATTTAACTTTCACAGAGATTCCGTGTTCTCTCTCCTTCTTTGCAAACTCTCGTATTTTCTTTTGAATTATCCTTTCTTTCACAGTGTAATCTGGGTTAATATATATTTCCTGTCCTTTGGGTCTGTTCTTTAACACACTTTTCTTTTTTAGAATTTCCATTTTGTCATTCCAGTTTTTTGTTTCAATAATGCATATCTTTTCGCCTACTTTATATGCCTTTGTCACCTCTATTTGTAGTCCGATTTCCTTTTCAATCATATTTTGTATTGCTTCTTTTAATATTTCTTCATTATCTGTATTTATTTTTATTCCAGTTATTACTAGATTATTCCTTCTTTTGTCTCTTTCTAAGGTTTCCAGTCTTTCTTCCATTTCAGCTAGTTT